TCCCATTTGTCTTTTTAGATGTTACTTTTTACTCATGCTTGGGAAATTCAACTCACATGACTGCACTGGGGGCCTTTTCACGATGATCTCTGCTTTCATTGAGGATGATGTCTTGAAAATAATGTTTGTTATATGATGGCTATTATGCACAAATTATAGGCCTAAATATCTAGCTATCTAAACATTTTTTATTTGATTTTTAAAAAAAGGTTTACAATAGTTTTAGAATCTAGAAATTTCATATTGTACTATTTTTTTCAGTCTCAAGCTTTGATCTCCTCATGGATCAGCACGGTTTTATGGAACTCGGCACAGGGGCGTCACGGTGAGACCGATACTAGATGACTCTGATGACAATGACATCAGGTTCAGATGGTGATGATGCATAGGAGCCAACTCCCATGCTGGCAATGGCTACAACTTGAGCCGATCCCTCGTGGCACGTGGCATACTGTTCACTGACATTTGGTTCACCTCATCTGCCCTCTTTACCACTCTTCACAGCCAACAGATTGGTTTTGTGGGCATGGTTCGTGCCAATAGGCTGCTAGGATATGCTCTACCATTAGACAAAAACTACCTACAACAAATGTATGGGTGGTGTGGATGCTCTGGACAGTCCGCTGTCCCTGTACAGGATCCCTGCACGGTCAAAGAAATATTACCACCGCATCATTTGGAAACTCTTAGACTCTTAGACACAGCATTGATTCAGGCCTGGCAGCTCTACAGGAGGGACATGGCTTTACTGGGTGTCAGCCAAGGAGATTAAAAGTAATGGAGGATGCTCTGGGGGCGGCACCGCACGCCTGATAGGAGCCCTCTCTCGCGGCGGAACTGTGGTCTACCTGCGCTGAGCGAATGCCCGACTTACGCACTGAAATCTAGATAAGAAAGAAGGTTTTATTCCGAGGTCCTTGAGATTAGGCAAGTCAATTAGTAAAAATGCCTTGCATCTGTGTTGTATTTAAGTGTAAGAACCGATATGATGCTGCAGTGGACCAAAGTTTTTACAGTTAAGTTGTTTTCCTTTTTAAAAATTTGAATGGAAGTGTTTTTATGCCCCCAGCAACACAATTTAGATCATTAACATTCATAAGAGGATGGCTCCGGCGCTACCTGCCAAGGCCAACCCAGGCTGAAAGGGATACAATATATACCCCAGCAGAAAGACGAGATACTCAATATATATACACATAATTATATATATATATATATATATATCTATATATATATATATATATATATATATATAAATTATGTGTATACATATAATCATTATGTGTGTGTATGTATATACATATTATACATTTATATTGCTTTCCATTGTGTGTGCAAATTAGATGCTACTGTTGTCTAAATGTAGATATCTGGAGGCTCCATTAGAATATGAAATCAATACTCAACAACAACAATGATGAATATTTTCTATGCTAAAGAAACACCAAACCATATCAGATGAGGGGAGAGGGTAGGGTGGGGTGGATAAGAGTTTGAGTCTTGTTAGATAGAACTATACTCGGTTTAATTCTATTGTTGTAATCTTCACCTAAGATCCCACAATCAATAATTCCGGTTCACTTAAAATTCTGCTGTTAAAAAATAAACCAAACAAAGCAACAACAAATTTTACAACACAAGAGTCATCACTGAGATAAATTATCCCCCCCCCCCCGTCCCTCCGGAGTGCAACAAGGGACTAAAAACGCTGCTCTCCATATCATACTTTACTGAACAAAACAAAAAAAAGAAAACCTTCAAAGGTCATCCACGCTCATGCATGCGATCACACCTCCAAAGGTGCTGTTATCTCTTTTTTTTTAAATACTTGAAATCATTGTGCGCTCCACTTTGTGAAAACCAGGAAACAAAATTATTGTAATCAATAATATTATTATTTATAGACCAAGACATGCTGTTAGCAATCAGATAAAGCTGGCATCAACCCTCTGTTTTGTTCGCTATTCCTTACAAATAAAGTTAGTTATGGCACACGCCTAGAATCATGCAATCATAATATCTTAAATTCAGTTTTAAAATATATTTTTATCCATTTCTAATAATTAAATATTTTGGCATCTTGAAAGATTATCTTTATAATTTGGTATGTTTGATAATTTTATGTTACTTGGAGAAGTTTTCTTATTTTACACATCTTTCTGATTTTTAAACTAGATTATAACATAAAACTCTTAAAGAATCTGTATCACACACAGAATTTTTTTTTTTTTTCTCCCTGTCATTATCCGTCAGCCCGTCAGTTGATCACAATCTCTCTCTCTCTTCACTCTCTCTGTCTGTCTGTCTGTCTGTCTGTCTGTCTCTCTCTCTCTCACTCTCTCTTTCTCTCTCTCTCTCTCTCTTTTATTTAATTTTCCCCATTCTCCTTCGTCCCTTCCCAAGGCCCGCCCCTCCTCTTTCATCCCTGCCCCATCCCCTCTTCCTTGCGTGCATTCCCCCACCCCTCCCACCCCCACAACGTCTTAAACGTGGCACAGCCCGCTAAGATTCTTTTAAAAAACCCGCCACAGTTCGAGATTTAGCCCACACTCGGCGGCCATATTTGACCCCCACCGCGGCGTACTGCTCGTGTCGCCGCGAAGAGAGAGAGGAGGCTCCATTAGTTCTAAACTCCTTGGTGTCAGCGCGAAGGACCAGCTTCCACTTCTGGCCTTCAAAAGTAGGGTGGCCAGGTGTCTGACCAAGGAGGGAAAACCGGTTGGAGGGGTGAAGCGTGGCCGCACTTCCTTGACAATGGACCTATAGCTCCCATCCCGAATAAAGCAATCCACTCTGATGGCATTGGTCATTGGTCGGTGTTTCCAGAAAAAAGGGACGGTGCAAGAGGCCGGGCTGCAAGGACACTCTAAAATATAAAAGTGCAGTGCCTCAAGTGTGCTGTTTATCTTTGCTTTACGCCATCCAGCAACTGTTTCCATCTATTCCATGTATTGTAGATTAAAAAATCAAATTAAATAAAGCGTGGAAAAAAGAAAAAAAAGGTATCCATCTTCTCTTTTCCCTGTATTTTTTGTGCAATTTTGCATAGTGTTGCCCTCAGGCAACGTACCTGTATTACATAACAGCAATCAAGATTTCTTAAAACCACTCAGAGGGTGCCTACCTTGTGGTCGTATAAGATGATTTCACCTCTTAGTAATTTTTTAGAATGGAAAATTGTTATATCATGCTAAATAGGGTTGCTCTTAAGTATAAACAGTGCCTCATACTCTCAGGAAGTCAGGCAGCTGCACAACAACAAAATTGTTGGATTGGAATCCACAAGGTAAAAGATCAAGGGGAAGACAGCGTGGAACCTGAGAACAATCACAGAAATTGATACAGAAAAGTAGGAAGACATGGAATAGAATCGAGAGACTAGCCCAGGATAGAGAAAGGTGGAACGTGTTTGTCCGTGGCCCATATCCTGGTGCAGGGTAAAAAAGGCAAAGATGATGACGAAAAACTTAAAACAGTTGCTGCAATCGACGATGATTCATAACCCCCCCCCCCCCCCCCCTCCCCCGAACATACC